TTTTTTTGTCAAAAATATTAGGATTAACATTATTTTCGTCATAACTCGACTAATTATAATTGTAGGGACTATTTGAAAAAACAAATATGAATGGTTTTTCAAGCTCTTTGAGAAATATTTCATGAGTTTTTGCTCCCGATAAAAGCATTGTTTTTTGCCACTTCACGTTGAAACTTTCAATTTTGGCATTTGACAAAAAATAACCACCAATTAACAAGATATCGCTTCGTTTGTATTGGATCCTTAGACATCATGAATCCACCATTTTTTTACATTTTTATTTGGTATGATTTGTTTCGATAAAATACCTACATTTTGAATTATTCGTGAAAAATCGCATGAAAAAGATTCGCAAATTATTCGAAAACAATAGTTCAATCTATCTATTTCTATTCCTCAATTTCAATAACCATATTAATTAGCTTAGGAAAACAAATAGCTTCGGGATGTAATGCTTTACGAACGGTATCGAATGAATTGGGTATTGTAACCGCCAAAATTGTGTACCACGCTGTGGTTGAATCGCACCTAAGATATGGCATATCATTCTGGGGCACCTGTAACCAACACCACTTCAATACAGTCTTCATTCTCCAAAAGCACGCCATCAGATATCTGTGCAAAGTTGGGCATGGAGAGTCTTGTAAACCCTTGTTCAAGGAGCAAAAATTACTAACACTTTCTTCTTTATTCATACTCGAAACTGTGTGCCTAGTACATAAGAACAAATCATCTTACGATGTTGTTGTTGGTTTCACTCGCCAAAACGACAAATTAAGACTGCCTATTCCATCATCAAATTTGATTAAAAACTCATTGATCTATAATGCAGCTAAAATATATAACCATCTACCGACCAGTCTTAAAGATATCCAATCACCTTATCAGTTCAGGAAATCTGTAAAGCAAGTTCTCATTGACCAGGTGTTTTATAGTGTTCAAGAGTACTTTGATAAAGATATGGATGGAATTCTGAAATAAAATTATTCCCTGTTCAAGCACTGCTTATGTTGATTTTAATAGCTCCTGCAATTTTGAAAACAATGTCTATTAATCTTATTTATTTATATATTTTATCTAT